AATAACATGCATTCTTGTTTTGTGCGCATGCGTCGTCTCAGCGTCCAATTATCAATCCTATCTTTTCCATTAAATGTCCATTTGAACGCACTAGTCAACTTGTTTTCGAAAATGTTTTCAGTAGTAATGTGTCCCTTTCTATTGGTAAGTGCAGAAACATCACGTAATATTTCCCTTGCAGTAAAAGAAGAAAATTATCGATTGATAACGCGCTACATATATAATAATGGCTGACTGCATATTACCGATTACACCCGACTATTAATCCTTATTGCAGACGCTCGCTCAGGACTATTTCTGTTTCCTCAATATCCAGAGAGCCACTTCCCATCGCTGTCACAAGTTTTAAAAGTCTCCATAGACTGGTATTATCACGAATAATATGATTAGATAAGTTTGCCTATTGTCCAGTTCACACTTCTCCCTGGCCTTTTGAACAGGAGTAGGGGTTTATCCCTTGTTTCCTGTTTGGGATTGGCTTTCTGGTTTCTTCTAAAGCCTTTGCCTTTCAGTATGTCCTTGTATCTTGGGAGCATTACTGCTTTGCCTGGGATAAATTGATTTAAGAAAAAAAAAAACTCCTTACCAAATCGACCATGGACGAATTTCGATATCTGTGCTTGGAACGCTAGAATTATGACAACTAAGCCCCCTAAGATGATTTGGCAAAATCCAATCATTTCTAACAAATCGTATAATGAAGGCTTTGTTGAACGGAGAAGCTTCTAGTTCATTTCACATTAATGCGGGGCTCTCCAAGAGCTCTATACTTGGACCTATGTTGTTTTTTATCTTCATGTTCATAGTTTCGTTTCTCGCACTTCTCGTCTGCGGAAGTCTCTTCGAGTTTTTTGCTTCCCTTCCACCTACAATCTTCAAAAATTGAAATGCATCGCAAGCCTCCGTCTTTATGAAACTTGTTCTTTTGTTGTCCTCACTAAAATCTTCTCATTTTCTTTCATACCCAGCAACTCCTTGCGTCTTAGTGGCATTATCGCCATTTTATGTTTTCCTAAAATATGTTCTTTTATTGTCCTTTCTCCTCACTAAACTCTTCTCATTTTCTTTCACCCCCAGCAACTCCTTGCGTCTTAGTGGCTTTATCCCTTGCAACTGATTAAAATTACATAAATCGTGACATTTGAGTCACTGTTCTTCGCTGAACTTTGACGTTGTGAAGCTCTCTCTCTCTCTGTGCAGATATTGTTCATTTAGTGCGTAGGAAAGGGTTTGTCTTTTGGTCATTTTTCTTTCCTTGTTTGAGATTTTTTCTTTCTTTTCTAAGGCATTAGGTCTGCCGGCAAGTTGTCTGTTGGTCGCACTAACATTATTGCCATTTTTAGTACATCTATTTAACGCTTATCCTAATGGAACTCATAGTAAAAATAAAATTCTCTAGATGCGCAGCAGTAATTGTTTAACGTGAGAAGTTCTCATCAATTTGTCCTTATTCCCGAAATATATCAAACAATGTAGGAAATCAAGTCAATGAATGCAATTAGTATACATTACATTGCTGTCCTGTCAGAAACGCTTGTCTTAACCCCTAACAGCAGACAATTCCTTTCTTCTTGTATTTGTAAAAAAATGCCAGAATTTGGTTTTATTTTCAGCTCCGTTTTAGGCAATTTTTCTCCCCATCTGACTATTTGCTGAGGACTTCACACACACACACACACATACATACATATATATATATATATATATATATATATATATATATATATAGTAGTACACAATAAAATCCAAAATTACCTCATATGAGGAATAGACCTATTTCAACCGACGAACACTTCGTCTGTCTTATTCGTTTGATTTCATGTCGGAATTAGGCCAACGGGACTAATTCCGACAAGAACTCAATCTATATACCGGGATGAATAAAACTGACGAATTTTCCGACGGTTGGAATAGGTCTATAGTTCTATATGAAGTAATTTTGTATTTTTTATGGTTTATTGCTATTTATTTGCTCTGTAATAATAAATATATTGAGCGCTTTTTTTGTGGTTCAGTTTTAATTTTTTATATTACTAGGATCCACTTGGATTATATACCAACAGATTTATTACCTTTACGATATATATATATATATATATATATATATATATATATATATATATATATATATATATATATATATATCTTCGGATCTTTGAGATTAGATCGTCTATTTGTGTGTATTTTACCACAAAATGTATCCTTTCCGGTTACATCTTTAATGTATTAGACATCCGAGAACATTCATATTTCTCTCACTTAAACCGTCTTTGACTCCCCTCTTTAAGACTTCTCTCTGTTAAATTTAATCCCCCCCTTCATCTTTAGACCCTCCTGTTCTTCTCCTGTTCTTGTCTCTTCTGTTACCCCTCCCTATACCTTTCATTTACTCTAACATTCGTCCCCCACTCTCATACATACACTCTCACTAAATTTTATTTTTTTATTCCCGGAGTTATTTTTTCTGTTTTCTTTTTGAATTTGTAGGTCTGATGAATTG